GGGAATGCAAGCTGGTGCAGCCACTCTGGAAAACAGTATGGAGGTTCCTCAAAAAGTTAAAAATAGAGCTACCCTACAATCCAGCAATCACACCACTAGGTATTTACCAAAAAAATACAAAAACACTAATTCAAAGGGATATATACACCGCTATGTTTATTGCAGCATTATTTACAATAGCCAAACTATGGAAGCAGCCCAAATGTCCATCAGTAGATGAAAGGACAAAGAAGATGTGGTACACACACACACACACACACACACACACACACACACACAGGAATATTACACAGCCATAAAAAAGAATAAAATCTTGCCATTTGCAACAACAGAGATGGCGTTAGAGAGTATAATGCTAAGCGAAATAAGTCAGTCAGAGAAAAACAAAAACCATGTGATATCACTCCTAAGTGGAATTTAAGAAACAAACGAAATGAGTAAAGGAAAAAAAAAAGAGAGAGAGAGAAAGAGACAAACCAGGAAAACTCTTAACTATAGTGAACAAACTGATGTCTACCATAAGGGAGGTGGGGGGAGGGGGATGGGTAAGATAGGTGATGGGAATTAAAGAGTATACTTATCATGATGCAAAAAATAAAATAAAATAAAATAAAAATATTATGTGAAGAAACAGCAACATCGATAGCATACATCATCTCAAAATCAAAATAAACTAAGGTGAAAAAAGTATGCCGGTCACTAAACATTTCACATTCTCATGGTCACAAATCTAATTCTGTTCGTAATGCACAAATTATAATTTATAATTCAAATATTATATTCTTCCAAACATCATCAAAAATGTAACGAGCCATTCAAGGTTCATTAGAATATGCATATCTGACCTACAACCATCTGACCCTCAGTATCTGAAAATTTAAGAGAATTTCACTGTGCTTAATTCATTTTAGATTTAAAAATGATGTATGGCATAAGACTTTGCATAAATTATTGAAGACTTTTGGCATTAATGTACAGAAGCAATATCACATACCCCAATAATCCAAAAGAAGCTTTCGTCAACATCAGTGTGCTTAAGATACCTCAGGACCAGAATATAAGAGCAAGACAATACAAATTGTCTAAAAAGCAGTAAACTGTCAGAGAAATTTAAGGATGAGCCTCATTGCAAATCACCATTAAATTTAGCCACACTGTCTGGTTCTAATAGAGGTTTACTCCTGGGCTTCTTCTTTCAGTATTTCCATCGGCAACGACTCTCCAGGCCTCATTCCACACCAGCCACAGTTCATGCCACTGCCCACCCACACAGCTCACTGCAGAGCAATTTCACCTCCTGCATGCGCACTGAGTTCCCCCAAGGCATGGCTCCTATTACATAAAATAAAATGGCCATCTTAATTAAAACTTACTGAGATTCTTCATTTGCTTAGAATATTGTGCTGCCAAGGTTTTCTGGATTATATGTGGTCGACCTGTGCTTTTCTGAAACAAAACAATTGTGGACCATTAAAAAGCAAGATGTGATCAAGCTTCCACGGAAGAGTGTTAGAACTTTCTCCAATATCCTTCTTAAAATGGGAACATTTATATGCTAATGTTTTAGCTATCAAAAATGAAAAGTATGTCTTATTGAAACTTCAATTTTTTAAAAAATAGTGCACCATTCAATTGCTCCAGTGTAGATAAAAGCATAGTTTCATTAGCTACTCTGAAACAGCTTTCTTCGAAGCCATGAATAGGAAATTCACAAGAAAGAAACATAAATGGTCAATGAACGTATAAAAAAATGATGAATGCTTTAATACTCCTTCAAAATGCAAATTTAAAAAAAAAGATATACCAGTTTTTCCCATCCTGTTGGCAAAGGTTTTAAAATTATAATAACCATAGTTATTATGGTTTCAAGGTAAAAAGCACTCTCATACTCTGCTGATAGGAATAAATTGGGAGCATAGTTCAAAGAGAAATTTAGCAATGTCTATCAATGACCTTGAAAATATTTATATCCTTTGCCCTAGAAACTACACTTCTAGAAACATCTTATTTCCATTCTTATTATTTACTATCAGCTTCCATTACTGAGCGCATACTATGTGCCAGACACTGTTAATGTACACGTTACCTGATTTAATCCTCACAAGAACTCTATATAATGCATATATCATCTTTATTTTACAAATAAAAATACTGCAACTCAGAGAGATCCATCATTGAGCTAAAATTATATTACAGAATAATGATTCAATTTATTTTAAAAATATATAAGAACATATCATTGAAAAACTGGAAGAATGTATACTAAAGGTGAGAAGTTTCTCTCTCCAGGATGGGATCATGGAAAATTACAATGTAGTTAAGTATTTGCTTATTTTGCTTTTCCAAATTTCCTATGATGTATTAGTTTCATAAGCAGAAAACTAGTTATTTAAAAAGTGTTCTTAATAGATTACATATGAGACTCACAATAATTAAGAGTTTTGCTATTCACTGCTTGAGAGATAACATGAATTCTTATTAGAAATATCCCATCCATATTACTTGACTTACTGTAAAACATACTAAAACCAGTAATAATAAACTAAACATCAACAAATCTAAATTCAAGTTCAATAAATTCTTAATTCTGGTAACAGGTGAAATGATACTCAGAGCAATGAAACTCACAACTGGATTAGAAACACAATTTTAAAAGCCGACTAAAGTTTCAAGCACTGTTCCTTTCCCTCTCCTCATGGTGAAGATGCAGACAGATTGTTACATGAACAAAAGACAGGGAGTAAGGAAGAAAGCAAAAGAGAAAAGGGAGTAGGCATGGAACAATCAGCCCCTGAAGAACATGAGTATGGCTATAACAATGTAAAACCGATGCTTTAAATACTATGATGATAACAGTTTGTACTGATAAATTTCTTCAACAGTTTATTAAACATAGTCACATACATTTCTTAATTCATCAAACCTGCAAAACTGCCCTATTGGGGATGCATTGAAAAAAACCATCTTATTTTACATATTTGAAAACTATGAGGCTTAGGGAGTCATTATTTGGGGTTTTTGTTTTGTTCTTTGGGGTTTTTTTTTTTAGCATAACAGGGCCATTAATCAGCACAAGAAATCAAAGTCAATTGTTTGTGTACCAAGTCAAATAATCTTGCTGTATACAAGTTATTTACCTACCACTAGAGTAGGGGAAAAACATTTTACTTAATCAAAATGACTTTATCTAAGGGTGGTTGTCTTCATTATCCAGTAATTTTTATACTTACTAGTTGAAAAATGATACAGGTTTAAGCAAACATTAAACATTTAACGTTAAATGACACTTCTGTCTCAAATTTGAAACTTACTCCATATTTATATATACATTGCCACAGCAAAAAATGTTTGTTCAACTGTGATGATCAATAGTCTAAATGGCTAGTACCTGGGTCAAAACTTATTTTATCTACAGGTGAAATCTCTGCAGATAAAAAAAAAAAAGTTTTCTGCGCCCCATCAAATGATTGCAATATTCTGACTTGATCACTCTCAAAATACTATTTTCCAATTAGCAGTTCTTCTCACTGCTATGATTTCCCTATTTCCACTTCTCAGAGCCTTCATCTCCTACCACTCTCCCCTTTGTCCACTCTTGTCCAACCTAGCTGGGCCCCTCAAAGTTCCTACAACACACACTCCTGCCTCAGGGCCTTTGCATTTGCTCTTCTCCTGGAATGCTCTTCCAGCTCCCTAATTTCTTGAAAGTCCTCCTTCAAAAGTACCATCTCATTTGCTCTTCCTTGTAAATCTACCTCCTTGGCTTCATTTTTTTTCTCCTTAGCACGCTATCTAACAAACAGTATGTAATTACTTACTCATCCCGTTTATCCCTGTCTGCCCCTGTAGACTATAAGCTCCATAAAGCTCAGGCTCTATGTTTGTCTTATTCACCACTTTATCCCCAGCACCTAAAATAGTACCCAGTATGTAGTAAGCCCTCATTACAATACCTAATGAATACAGATCAAATTTCAGATTTGTTTTCATTCTATTAGTGAGCAACACTAGTAGAGTATATGATTCCTTTTTTAGTCCAATTTTATGGGGATATAATAATACGTAATATTGTATAAGTTTAAGGTGTACAGTATAATGATCTGATATATGCATATATTGCAAAATATATAAGTGTAGTTAACATCCATCACAATTTTTTCCTTGTGATGAGGACTTTTAAGATCTACTGTCTTAGCAACTTTCAAATATACAAAGATACTATAGTCACCAAGTTGTACATTACATCCCAGAATTTATTTATCTTATACCTGGAAGTTTGTACCTTTTGACCTCCTTCACGCATTTCCCCCACTGGCTTCTGATAACCACTAATCTGTTCTCTGCTTCTGAGTTCAGTACTTTTAGATTCCACATATAAGCAAGATCATAGAGTTTTTGCCTTCCTCTGTCTGACTTATTTCACTCAGCACAATGTCCTTATGGTTTCTTATCTAGGTTGCTGGCCTGTGCATGACTCTAAATATTATTTTCTTCCCTATCTCTAAACAAAACTAAATGCTATCTAATATAATCATAGTTCAACTACAAATTTTCCCACTGAAGACTCTTATAAAAGTTAAGTATATGTTTATAGGCATACAATTATCTAAAGAAGAAGTGAAAATAAAAGCTAGTTCAAAGGAAAAGAAGTGGGTCAGTACAAAACAAAATGTCCACTCTGCTCTATAGACTGGAAAGAAGTGCCTTCACTTCCAAAAACCTAGATTTATTGCCTCTTATCATTCCTTACTGGTATGTGGCCTGGTGTGACGAGAAAAACAACTTGTATTTTTCTGAGTTATTGCCTAGGCATTTTACAGCATGATAACGCTGCTCACACCCAGGGTCTGGACATTTTGATGAGAACTTGAGTTTAGGGCAGAAAACAGGAAACAACAAATGTTGGTGAGGATGTGGAGAAAGGGGAACCCTCTTACACTGCTGGTGGGAATACAAGTTGGTACAGCCACTCTGGAAAACAATATGGAGGTTCCTCAGGATGTTAAGAATAGAGCTACGCAGAGAGAAGGAAAGATGGCAGAGGAGTAGGGGACCCTATTTCAACCGGTCCCCGGAATTGAGCTGGATATCTACCAGACCAGTCTGAGCACCCACGAAACCAGCCTAAGATGTAA